CTAGGCCTGGGAGAAGGCGCAGTTCGGACAACCCGAAATCCTGCTGGGGACCATCCCAGGTGAGTGGGGGGCACTCACCAAGGGAGGTCCATCCCAGCCGGAGCGGGGACACCCAGGTGTCCCTCTCTGGACCTTTCCCTTCCCCAAACGGCTCCAGGTGCCGGAGGGACGCAGAGGTTGACCAGGGCGGTGGGGAAGTCACTGGCAATGGAGATGGTCCTCACTGGGGACCGGATTTCGGCAGCAGAGGCAAAGGAGGCAGGTAGGGGCGCGAGCCAGCCCTGGCACAGCGGGCATCTGGCGGGGAGCCATCCCCCCACTCCACCACCTCCCACTATCCATCCTAGGTCTGGTCAGCAAGGTCTTCCCTGTGGAGAAGCTGCTGGACGCGGCCATTGCCTGCGCTGAAAAGATCGCCAGCAACTCCAAGCTGGTGGCCGCCATGGCGAAGGAGTCAGTCAATGCTGGTAGGGGCTGGGGGGGCCAACCAGGAACCCCCCTGGGGGGGCTGTGGGGCCAGGCAACAGGGTCTCCCCAACTTCTCCCTTGCTCTCAGCCTTCGAGACGACACTGGCGGAGGGGACCAGGACGGAGAAGCGACTTTTTTATGCCACCTTCGCCACTGTGAGTAGGGGGGTCAGCCCCATCGCGGGGGGGATAGTGGGGCTGTTGCAGCCCACCCCAACCTCACCTCTCCGCTCCTCACAGGGCGACCGCAAGGAGGGGATGACAGCGTTCGTGGAGAAGCGCAAGGCGAACTTCACCGACAGCTAAGCCCAGGGTGGTCCAGGTCCCCATGGCTGCCTGCTGCCCATCAGCCCCCTGCGTCACCCCACAGAGGGGGTCTGGAACCCAGCGGCGAGCAATAACTTGCCTGGGGTGAGACAACCAGCAGCAGGGACCACCTTTGCCATTGCTATTAAAAGGTTTTCCTGGTGATGCCGGGAAATGGGGCATCCTTGCTGTGGTGTCCCCCCTGAGCTGGGAAGTGTTGGGATTCACTGAGACGCCCCCACTCCATCACACTGCTCTCCGATGCTGGGCTGGGCAAGAGCAGCCTAGTGGAGCAATAGGTCCATGTGTCCCCTGGGGAGGGGACAGCCTGCGGCACCTTCTTGGGCACAACACTGATGCGCTGAGTTTGCCTGGCCTCAGCCCCACCTGGGCTGAACTGAGGCTGGGGTGATGGGCTGAGTCCCCCACCCCGAAGCATCATCCTCACCCTGCCCAGGGTCTTGGGGCAAGCCCGAGGAGGGGGATTCCCCAGATTTGGGGGCCCTGCACTTAGCGATACGTTTCTGGCAGCAATAAGGAGCCCACCAGGATGTGGAAGCGGGAATGGGTTTACTGGGTGGGCTCAAGGGTGGGTAGTGAGGGACGAGTCCCCTCAGGAAGCCCCAGGGGTGGATCCCACCACTCATTTCGCAGCCCAGGCATGTCTCCACTCAGCTGTGGTGGAGATGGTCGTGGTCCTTCTCCGGGCTGCTCTGCACCTCCAGGGACAGTGTCTGGGGTGGCCTGTGGGCATCGGCCTCCCTGGCTTCATCCTGGGGGTGGTGGAGGTGGTCGCGGTCCTCCTCCGGTCCCACCTGGGCTTGGCGGGGGCCCCATCGAGCCCAGGCACTGCTGGAGAAGACCTTTATACCTGGTTCCACCTCTTTGGTGATCTCGCCCTCCTCCAGCAGCTCCATGGCTTGTATGCCCAGGATGCTGGAAGAGGGGAGCAAAAACAGTGAGGAAAGGTCGCAGTGCATCAGGGTTACTAAATATCCTCCTGCCCCAGGGGAATCCCACCTCATCAGGGTGCAGGGACCCTGGTGAGACGCCCCCCCCCAGGAGGCTGCAATTAGGATCTCGGGGAGCAAATGGCTAATTTAGTTACTTATCCCACGAATGGACTGGATGGGTCCAGGACATTGGCACCTCAGCACCTGCAGCTCCCCACTGCCACCAGCAAAGGGAAACCAGCCGGGGCTCAGTGCTCAGAGAGTTTGAGTGATTTTGGGGGAAGATGGAGCTGGGAGCCCCTTAATTTTGGGGGGGGCGCAAAGCAACAAGGGAGACTTATTCCCCCCTGAAATGCTTTACATTTTGGGGTGTTGCTTTGTTGGTTTTTACAAGCCAGATGCGGGTGCCCGAAGCTGTGGGGAACGCGGCCGCCTCTTACATTTCCTTGGCCAAATCCTGCTCCATGGCCAGGTCCTTCCGCCCGCTGTCACTCAGAGCCTGCGGGGAGAGAGGGGGGTGGCAGGGGGGTGGCACAGATCACGCGTGGGTCTCCCTGTGCCCGCTTGTCACACAGGGCAGCGGGAGGGCGAGGCGGAGGGTGGGGGCTCACCTGGGTGCTCCCGGGTGCAGGCCGGAGGAGGGCAGA